CCTTTTTCGAAAGCTGAGAGCAAAGTTTGCTCCCTCACAAAGTCCTATAAATACTCTTACATGGCTTACAGAGCTTGAGCTGTGGGTCACTGACGTAGTTCTCGTCTGATCTAGGATTTGTAATTCCTTTGAAAGCTCTCGACAATTCTAAATCCACCCAAGATGTGCGTGGGAGCATGTAGAAGGATTTTTAGAACACAGAATTATGCGGTCTTCAGATGTTCTGTAGTTAGGTGTTGGAAGAAGTTAGTAAGTACCTGGAAAGGAATAACAAGGACATCATCATCTCCTTCCCCAATTCGTACGAGTATAAAGCTAAAAATTGTTACCCGACATCGTCAATTGTTAGTACATGATATTTGACTGAGTAGTGTACTGGCAAACTACAAGATCTTGGAAATAGATAGTATTCCTCATAAGAATTTTCCTACTGATTTAAGCGCATTATGAACAATGTCTTGGTTTTTGCACTTCTAGGTCCGAGTTGGCCACATCGGAGCCGTTGGATACATGAAAAATGGTGAGAAAATCCTGGAAATCTCCAGGAAGGAACTCTGGAACGATGGAGTGCTTGACGAGGATTTCGACATCGAGTCAGTTCCTTTACTCTCAAGTGATCTCACGAACGTCACGAGAATTGAGACTAAAGATTTCAAACGCTTTGGACGATAATGCGCGTTAACGTAATTGAGCAACGTTAGTGTGTAAATAATAAGCTTCTCAGTTAGTCAGAAGATTACGGTAAGACGATACCCTGGCTGCGATGAGATCGAAATTTCGCGCGTCAACGTATTCTTGTTTATGTTGAGATTCAAAGCTTCCTTATAATCAGGTGTTTTGTTTGTAACTGTATAGCTTTTTGAAGCCTACTAAGGCAATATTTATATACGTGCAACTTTGATTTGATAACGCAACCGAGGTTTCCCAAAACTTCTCGGATTTTGTTACCACTTTATGGCAGCTATGCGTTAGTGATGAAAGAAACTAGATATATAAGACGTTACGAAGTTCGAGAATCTACGAAGTCGTCTTTGTTATGCAGGAATTTTGCTTGAATAGT